AACATGCGGTTATGAAGCAATGCGTAGTGGTGATGCCATTTTATTTTATATTAATCGTGATGGTCTTCCTTTATCAGATCGATGTACTGAACGTATGTGGACTTTTTGTATGGAACAATATCCTAAAAGTAAGTTTATATGATTAATAGATTTTTATTATTTAAATTTAGGTTTTTTTTTTTTTTTATAAATCTAGATATAAACTAAAAAAATCTTCTTCTATTCATTGAAAAAAAATTGTTGAAACAAATATTTATTACATACAAAAGAAATTTCTTCAAAAATATGTTGTTCTTTTTAATAGACAAAAAAAAAAGAAAGAAAACTTTTGATTCAAAAACTTATTGTTGTTTTTTTATATAAATATTGCTGACAATAATTGAACATGTAAGATTTCTTCAAAAAGTTTACGATCAAACATCAATATTCTTGTTTTTAAATTGTAACACTTGAAAAGAAAAACGAATTCTTCAAATTTCAACTTTAATAGTTCTATTAGAAAGATTCTATTCTTTCAATAAATTTTTTTCACATCAACAAACGAAAGAAAAAACAATTTTTTATGATGAAAGTATTTCAAAACAAGCTTCCACTTCTTCTATTATGTTTTTTTTGCATGCATGCAAAGAACAAAAACCAGAACTTTGTAACATTTTGTCGAATAAATATAATCGAGCAAGATCTAAAAGATTTCGAATGTTCATAACACATTAGAATATAATCATTCTTTGTGTGAATAAGAAATACTATATATTGATAGATTACATAAATTTCAATATTGAGATAGTCAAGATAATATATTATTGATTCTAATAAACATGAAACAAATAATTATGAATAAAGTTAATTAGATATCAAATTGTTTTTATTCTATTAACAAAAAAGAAAATTTTATTCTTTCTTAAGATGCATTAGAAATAAAAACAATACGTGATCGAATTAGTGATTATCCTCAGATCGCATATGTTGAGCCACCTTATAATGTAGCAACAAATCCTCGTTTAAGTCTTCAAGAAAAATTACAACAAATACAAACATATATTCAACGTCTTGAATATAATTATACTGGTATGCAGTTTTTTGATCTTAATGCAAATCGTCCAATATCTGGTTTAATGGATACTGCTAGACATATGTAAGAAATTTAAATAAAATGAAAAAAAAAATACAAAGAAAGCATTTAATTTCTTTTTTTTTTTTTGAAATCTTCAAATGTTATTTATTTATTTTTAGAATGACAGAATCATTACCAATAAAATGTTTTGAAGCATTTTTAATAGCTATTTATTTAACAACAGGTATTGTAGGTCTTGAACGTTTTAATATATCATTTAAAACACGTTTTAATTCAATTGTTTATCGTCATATTGTTCTTGGTGTTAAATATGGTCAAATGTATGGTGCATTAGGTTTAAGTCGTCGTACTGATCTTGCATATAAACCATTAAATGGTAAATATGAACGTTTATCAAAATTAATTGATGATTATTTACAAGCATATAAAAATTATGGTCATACTGTTTTACGTATTAAAATTGGTTTACCGATAATACATGATTTAAGATCATATTTAACAATAAATTGGAAAGCAATTATTATTCAACCAAATAAAACTGATAAAATTGATTATGAACGTGAATTAGATAAAATTGTTCGTATATGGAGACAAATGAATATTTACATGCCATATCGATCAAATCTATCATTATCATCAATGGTACAATCAACTAATACACTTGTTACAAGAGCATCATCACCAAATCGTTTACAATCATTATCATTTCGATCAAATCGTGAAGGATCATTAACTTGTCGTCGATCAGCTATTAAGAAAACAATAACAACAACCGATGATAATCATACAACTGATAGAGATCACTCACTTCCTTGTGCTATTCGAGTATGATTTTATTGTTCTTTTTTTTTTTTATCAAGAAACAACAAAAGAAAAAAAACATACATATGAAGACAGAGACATCAAGGTATACTTAATATATCCATATATGTGTATATATATATACGATTAGCAAAAATAACTAAAGGCTACACACACATTTACAAAACATACAGGCTTAACTTCGAAACAAAAAAAAAGAAGTTTAATGAGATTTCGATCATCAATTCGTTCTTTTGAAATTTTTGAATGAATTTTGTCCATTTTGTTTTATGAGGGTTTTGTTGAAGATGCTCCCTGATTGTTACGTAATGCATCGTCATATGCTGGTGGGCCGCCTAAAATTATAAACAAAAAATTTTATTAGAATTCTTTTCATAACATATTAAAGTATAGTGACCGACAAATATTTCGAACAACTGTATTTCTAAGTTTTCTTCTCGATAGTAATAAACTTATGTCCGGCACTATATGATAAAACTCCTTTACTCATGTATATATATATAGTTTTTATTCCTATTTGCCAATGAATTATATTTATTTCTTTTTTTTTTATGATTATTATATTTTTCATAATTGATTTCGCATTTCTATCGGAGGCAAAATTGAGTTTGATTGACATGCTTTCATCCGGTTGCCAAATGGCAATAATGTTACTAATTGAAATGGAATAGCAAAACCCGTGAATAAGCTCATTCTTTAAAGCTAAAAAGAGGATCATTCGCACAAACGCTATAGGTGAAAGTGCTAGTTAAATTACTTAACTGATAGTAACTTGCTGCTGAAAATTTCTTTTCTTTTTTTTGCTTGAAATAATTCATCATAATGTAAAAGAAAAGAATGTGTGTGTGAGGAAACAAATTTTATCGAAAAGAAATAAACAAACAACAAGAATTTATTGTATTTTTTATGTTACATTTCATTTCAGATACATGCATAAATATATTTAAATAAGCCAATATTTTTTCTAAGAACATGTATCAAATAATATTTCATGCATACAAGCCTGTTTAATTATTCAAAAAAATTAACATTTACGATGAAAATTAATATCGAAAATCTATAAAAGATATTTTTATTTATGATTTACATTAGAATTATGTTTTGGTTTTTCTACTTAAAAAGATAAAAGAAGATCTGTATTTTTTTTTCTTACCTTCTTTTGTAAAATACGGATTATGTGATTGTTGTTGAGGTGGATATTGTATTTGCTGTTGAGGTGAATATTGCATTTGGTGTGGAGGTGGATATTGCATTTGCTGTTGAGGTGGATAAGGCGTTTGATATTGTTGTGGATAAGAAGGATAATTTCCGTCATAATTTTGTGGTGGAACTGCATATGGATTTCCAGTTGGTGGTGGTGGATAACCCATGGGTGGCGGTGGTGGATGATAAAAAGGTGGTCCTTGTTGTTCCTCAATTGGTGGTTCCGTTGGAACCATTACATCATCTTCTATAAAAACAAAAAAAAGTTTAGATTAGAGAAAAACAAATAAATAAAAAAATCAATACTTCGTCGTTGTCGATTACGTCTTGTAAAAAGAACAATGACAATAACGACTATTATTATAAGAAGAAGTATCCAACCAAAATTCGAAGCACCACGAAACGGACCACTAAATAAATCAATTTTTTTTAAGATAAAATAAAGTTTTTGTTTTTCTGTTTTTTTTTATTATTCATTAAAACAAACCTATTATCTTCACGAATACAACAATATTGTTTTCCATATTCACCACAACAATATTTGGCTTCTCTTGGAAATCCATTCAATGGACAACGAAATTGTCCAAATCGTGTACCATTCATATCTTCATTATTTACACATGTTTCTCCAGCTACATAAGTAGTAAAAAAAAAAAAATAAAACTTATTAATATATATACATTGACTCTCGATATTATTTGATCAGGTTTTCTCTCTTGGTTCCTGTAAACAGTAATAAGAAGAATACAAATAGTGATTTAAATAGAAAGTTTTTGAAGACAAAAGTGATTACAAGTTCTTCAGCTCCTAGAATTCCTCAATAGAATTCTTTTTGAATTATCAAAAATTAAAGAACAAATGATTATCTACAAAACAGGTCTATACAATGTTCTTTTTTATATCGAACTATATCAATCTTACGAAATACATAAAAATGGTGTTTTCATAAAAAATATCGAAACAAAAACTGACTCTGGCGTCTTTGGTAAGATTGATGTATCTCGATGACAAAACACTATACAAAGCTGAAAAATTCGTTTTCTTTTTAGTCTTCTACAATCTCTTTTATTAAAAAATTAGCAATTGATTTCATCTTCAAAAACTCTTTGAAAATAGAATGTTCTACTTATATCAATATGTGAATTCTTCTTAGCATTTACAACAATAAAAAAAACAAAAATTACAAATCAATCTGGTTGCATAATTTTAAGAATCATTCTCTATATACAAAAACTTACTTCCATAACCCGGTTCGTAATATCCAGGTCCTCCATGATATGAATGTGACATCGATCTCATTAAAGAATATGCTGCTATACCACCTAATGCTCCAGCACCAAAACTCATAGCATTACTTTTAAATCTACTTCCGGAACGACTAAAATTAAAAAATAAATTATTAAAAAAAAATATTTGATTATATTATTTACCCTTTATTCACATTACTATAACCTGATGATCCACCATATGTTCCTGAACCTTTTGAACCTCCCCAAGATCCTCCACCTCGAGAACCTCCACCTCTGCCACCTCCACCTCGTCCACCACCAAATCCTTTACCATCGGTGCATGATGAAAATAAAACTATAAATATAAATTTAAAAATAAAAGAAAAAACAAAATTTTATCATTTATTTATTATTTTAATCTTACATGAAATAATAAATAAAATATAAAACCATCTAAATAGATGATTATCTCGCATTTTGTCAAAAATAAAATAAAATCTGAAATACAAAAGAAAAGAAATACGTTTATATGTAGTCATTAAATGCTGAGTGAACCTGAGTGTATAAATACAATATATATATATATGAACGTTAATGAAAAAAAAATTATACAAATTAATGTTAATAAATCGAAAATAATTTCTTTATTCTAATAAGTAATCATTATATAGTTATATATCGGGTAAACCTTTTATAGCTTCGGAATATGGTGGAGGAGCTAAAAATATTTAAAACAAAAAAATTTATTGAACTATTTATTTTTCAAATAACTTACAATCCGAAGGTATAGTATTTATCGTTCGATTGACGATCTGTGGTTGTTGTATACTAGTGCGTTGATTTATTTCTAAAGAAATTAATAAGAAATATAACTAGCATATCGATTTATTTTTTGATGTTCGAAAAAATGATCAAGTAAAATAATGTGTTAAAATGGTTGTTTTTTTTCTGGCATTTTATATGTTAGCAATTATTAATCGAAAGATACATACGTTGATCATCTACTTGACTGGTAACGGCATAGCTATGACCTAAATATTAAATTGAGGTCTAACTAAATAATTGAAAACTATGATTCGAATTTTAGACAGAAAAAATAACTGCTTCCATTCTCATGTTTCTTTTATTATCTATCGTGAATTTTATCACGATCAGTACAATTACGCATTTCGTATTGCTCATAATGATTCACATGTCTCATACATAATGAAACATGAGAATTCTGTATGATGAAATAACCCTATTATATTCATTTTTTTTTTTTTGAAATATTATTGATCTCAATGATTTTCCGTCTTTTGTTTTTGCTTTTCTTAGGATGAATACAATCAATAGTCAAAGATATACTAACCTTTTCGTTTTAAATAACGACGATAGTAGACAATACAACAAGCAATAAGCAAAAGAATAAGACTACAAGCTGAAATAATACCGATGATGGCACCAATAGCTCGACGACCACTAAAACATCATAATAACAAATAACTGAATTGAATTCTTTAAAAAAAACAAAATATTTCAGCTCTTTTTGTTTATAATTATAATAAAAGATAGGGAAAAAATGTGATATTTTAATCATGAAATGAGGTAAAAATTTATCTATTACAATAATGAAATAGAAACTATTTATAAAGTAAATAACTTCATATTAAATTAACTTTTCAAATTTTTTGTTTCTTTTTTTTTGATATTCTGTCTAAAATACAATAAAACTATTCGTCAAAAAAAAAAAAGAAAGAAAAGACATACAGCATGATGATTGAAATATAATCAATATATATATTTATTTTGTATGTGTAGTATCTCGTATGAATTCTCTGATTATTTACAAGCCATACGTCTACAATGTATAGACAAAGCATGAAGATTAATCAGTTAATAATTATAAAAAAATTAAAGGTAAAAATAATCACAAAGAGAGAAGAAAAAGTATTATTTTTTTGTACTAAAGCTTTTTTTTTTTTGTTGTTGTTGAGCAAGACGCATTTCGACTGTTTGCAAAATTACCATTATAATGTACGGACGAAAGAAAAAAAGAATAGAATAAGATAGAAAAAAAAAAAATACGAGAAGACACATACGCAGCCTGTCAACTACGGAAAAAGAAATCCAAAAACAGAACAGGAAAAAAAAAGAGCAAAATAAGAAAGAAAAAAAATTATACCGTTCCCAGAAGGAAGAGTACTATATGTGCCTCTATGACCCTTAAAAGCAACAATCATTGGTTGTAAAATAAAACGATATATGTCGCTGAAAATCATTGAAAATAAAGTTCATATACAGTTACACATACTTTCTGTATGTAACATTTAGAAAACATTAATATTGAATTTAAAAAAAAAAATAGACATGCCTGGAATATATTCTTTATCAGTATTGAAAACAAAATAAATGCATAAGAAAAAAAAACTGCACTACAAATCAAAATATACGCATTAACCTTATATAAAACTGATGGTTGCCTATCCGAATAAAAATAGAAGCAAAAGGTTTTATTAGACTATCTAATAGAATATTATTATCTATTTATTTCATTTAATAAATGAAAGAGAAAAACAAGATCAACATACTTATTCATGTTTTTTGAGAATCACTATTAAATAGATATAACTAAAAAACTTTTCAAATTAATTTTCATCATCAGATTAAACGTACACATGTACATTATTATTAATTGAATTTAATATGATTTTATATAAGAAATGAATAATGATTACATCACAAAAAACAAAACGAAATGTACATATATATATTTTCGACAGATTATTATTTGTGATTAAACTTTATCTTTATTCGAATAATAAGTGATAATCGATAATTTATCTGTTTATTCTTACTTTTCATACTACATTACCATGTCTGCATAGAAAAATATTAGTGACAAAAAAAGTAAACAGATCCATATGTGTATGTATATATATATTTCTAATATTTCTATCTAGAATAAATGGAAGGTTTTTTTTCTAGAATCTACTACGTGACATAAGATTAAGCAATACTATTCTAAAACATGAATGATCATCTCTCCGGAAATCTGAAACACTCAAATGACGTCATTGTCTGCTAAAAAACACTTCTTTTCACTTACATTACTATGTGTTTTTTGTAAGAAACAACAATAATGAGTCATTTCTAATTCTGCATCCAATTAATTTTTTTTCCACTTATGATTAGAGATGTTCATCTTATTATTGATTGATGAATATCATTATCTATTAGTTATGCCTATAATAAAGGATTATTCATTATTTCATAATCATATTTAGTATAAATTAATTCTTTTTAAAAAATAAATTCATTTTTAAATAAAAGTATATTTAATGAGCGACATCTATTCTATTGTTTTAGAAAATATTTTTTGGAAATATGAAAAGATGATTATTAAGTTATATTTTAAAATAGTATAATATATGCTGAGACAGAGAGAGAAAGAGAATTCTCTATTGATTGATTTATTTTGTTAACTATTAATGTTTATTTATTTATTTACTGGAAGAATGTCAATTGATTAGCATAGGTGTTTGCTGTAGCAGTTAACCACAATTCCGTATTGTCTTAATGTTTATCACTACAAGTGGTTCCTGTTCTTATTTACTAATATATAGTATCTAATAGTATGTTATTTTTTTTTCCTCGATAATTAGTTTATAGAAGTTATGCTTATCTATCTGTTCGAACAAGTAGATTTCATCATTTATTGTTTGAAAATTTAATTATCGCATTGAAAAATAATGATATAGTATAAGATTATAATTTAATGAAATTAAAATAATATTCTAAAAGACATATTCAATGTTTTAAAGTTGATGATTCATATATAGAACAAAAAAAAAACTAATAAATGACATTTTTCCTACGAGAATTACAATGTCATTTATTTGTATCTGTTTATTTACTTGGTAATTAAAATGAATAAGGACGATACGGAAGACAAAAAACAGATGGAATTATTATTATATAAAACAAAGCCTTGTCGCATATCTGAATCTATATCATATAACACCAATTTAAAGTCAAGTATCATTGTTCAATAAATATTCATTTTGAAGTTGATTTCATAGGTTTATTAAAAAATGTTATTATTCAACACTTTCAATAAGATCTATAATATGAAGAATTAATCATGTGTTCTTAAGAGTTTTTTCTCTCTCTTAATCGGTTTTTTTTTGCTATATGACTAAACTGACTTGGCATTTTGTCGAAGAGAAAAAGTTGATGTATCTTGTTGTGTCGAGGATTTTTTTCTCATGTAAATAGAGATGAAGAAAGAGAGGAGGCGGAAATACTTGACTGCGGCTGAAAAAAGAGATGATAGAAGAACAGTAACAGAAAAAAAAAGAAAGAATGTGGTCTGTTTCTAGCAATACAAACAAGAACGTCTGTCAGTTACAATGCTACAATAATCTTCGTTTTTTTTTCTTCTCGCTATCGAGCAATTTTTTTTTCTTGAGCAAATATTTCTTCATCTCTCTTTTATTGTTAGTTATTTTTTATATAGCAATAGCTTTCAGTTTGTACGGCAACATCTATGTTTCTTATCTAAATTTCAATGGTTCTCTACAAGGAAATCACTAAAGAGGTAAGTTGTCACAAGAGATTAAACTTACAAAATAAATCAAAGTTTCTTTTGTCTCACGAGATGTTAAGTTTCGTCTATGTTTTTATTTTAAGTATTGACTTGAGAATTTTAACAGTTAGTTTTCATATGTAAATTAGAGATATTGTGTCCTCTTCAAAATGTTATATATGTCATTTTGACATGACTAAAACTTCATATCATTAATTATTCTATAATCTGATTAATGACATTAACTGACACTTGACATCAAATCAGAATCAGATGAAAATTTGTTATAAATCATGAACAATTATTATAATTTTCACTATCATAAATAAATGCATTGATTATTATTATTATTATTATTATTCGTAATTATGTATTATAAAGCTATCTCTTATTATCCTTTATATGTACATTTTTTTTATTAGCCATCAATATGATACTGATATAATAACACAACTGTTATGAGTGAATTATATTTTTTCTCGACAATAGTTAAATAACTATTCCTTAGGCAAATAAGAATTAATTTATCAGAAGTATATCATCTTATGATAAATGTAAACATTTAAATACTAATAACTAATTTTTTTAAAATTTAAACTAATTAAATAGATGAAAAAAAAAAATTATATTTCAGAATAATAATTAGTTAATAGATAAAAATATTTTTGAAATAGAAATAATTTATTTTGTTGTTTTTCTTTATCGATTATTTTAGCTATAAGTTTTGTTGTTCTGCTGATATGAATCATATATGCACTGTTGTTGTTGTTATTTTTTAACTGGCAGGGAAACGGGGTAAAGTTTACGTGAATCATAAGTTTATTTTCTATTTTGGAAAAATACACCTTATAAAAACCTGTCTACTCAACATTGACGACGTCATTTCATCAGTAATGCTTTGATAGACATATACTAAGTGTCTGTAGTATATTGTATGTGTCAGTGCCACATATCCTTCGTCATCTTAATACGACCAACATGCACTGGTCATTTTCTGGTTGAGAACATTGAGTAGAAGAGAGAGGACGAGAAGGAAAAAAAAACGAAGAAGGTTCATTGTTAACTGAACAGGACAGACGAGAAAGAAAGGACAAGAATAAGAAGAAGAGATTTTTTTTTGCTGCTTCTTTTTCTTTTTCTTCTTTTGGACCGTTGAACACAGCTTGCAGAACATCGGACACATATAGTTGCGATCGGGTCGAATGTATTCTATGTTGATTTTTGCTTGCCTTCTTTCTCATTCACTTACAATAGAATCGATTTCCTGGAAGAATACCAAACGTAATAATAGTATATACTCGTTCATTTTTTTCTTTTTTTAGAATAGGATTCAATTTCATCTTTTTTTATCATCATCAATTTTTTCTTCTTCTACTTATATTTCAGAAGTATGTTTGCGAACGAGCAAGTCAAAATAACGAACAACAGCAAAAGCATCAACGAACATATATTGATAGTGGTATGATGGTAGCAGGTAACGGATCGACTACAGTCAATGGAAATATTATTAGTGGACATATGATAACATTAAATATTCATGTTCCACATAATAATATTATCCAACCGATGCAATTTGATGTTCAAATGTTAGTTGGTGATATATGTCGTAGTATTCAAGGACATTTACCAATTACAATTGGTCATGATCGTAAGTGAACAGAAAAGAAAAGACAACAACGTGTTTTTTTTCGTTTGATAAAATGTTAAAAATATGTTCTTTTTTTTTTAATATTTAGAATCGGAATTTGGACTTTTTGTAAATGATATACAACATTCATCGAGAAGCTATTGGCTTGATCCATCGAGAACATTAAGTTATTATTCTTTAAAAACAGGAGTATGATGAATAAAAATTCTTCTATTTATTTTCTTTTTGTTTTTGCATTGATTTTTATTTTTCTTGTAGGATAATATTGAATATACAAATAAATATCGACCATTAAAAATTCGTTTATTAGATGGTACAATTCGAACAATTCTTGTTGATGATTCATTAATAGTTGCTCAATTAATGGTTTATATTTGTACTAAATTTGGTATTGCAAATTATGATGAATATTCTCTTGTTTATGATCTTGATTCTGATGATGGTAGTAGTACAAAAACAGCAACTCTTCGTCGAGTAAATTTTATATTATTTGAAAAAAAAAATAATTTTGTTTTTTTGGTAAAATTTTTCTTTTAGGA